CTCTAGCCAGGGCAACAGAGTGAGACTCTGTCTCAAAAAAAAAAAAAAAAAGATTGAATACTACGAAATATACCTTTTTTCTAGATCTGATGATTCCAAAGTGACTAATTATCATTTTGTTCAAAGGGCAAGAAATAAGAAGAAGGGAATTTAGTAAAAAACTAACCTATGTTGTATCTGGTCTCTTAAATTCTGGTCCCCATGCATATCTTGGTTTTCAGCAGCTACATGTTGACTGATATCTTCATGAGCAATTTTATGTGAAAATTCTTCAGCTACAGTATGAAAATTATTTAATTAGAAAATTTTCAAAACCAGTCAAAGTTGCTACTTACTGCTAGAATATACTGATGCAAGATGCCAAATAGATATGGTCCTATATTTGGTCCAACATTACTTAAAAATGTTTTACAAAGCTGTTGAAAGAGTATAGTTTTGTGATAAGAATTCAAGGTCTTCCTGGAAATTGGGGGAAATTAGGAAACCACATTAAAGAGAAGCTGTAGTGTCAATGTAGAGGATCTCAGGATTGACTATGAAGAGATGAGAATGAAAAATAATGGCTCATCATGGATAATTAACTTGTAAAGAATTAGAAAAATTAATACTGTGATGTAAAAATTAGAGTGAAATAATAAGGTGGCCATAAAGTCAAATATGCATAAAATTATTTTTTGACATTATATTACAGTACAATAAAATAAGTATATTTCTTTATAGACCTTATCATCTCCTTATAGAGTAGACATAAAGATATAGACCCAAAGAGACCAAAAACAAACAAAAAAACAATCTCAACAGCTCTGATTAAATCCTATTCTGGAAAGCCCAGAATAATTACAAACTTAGGATAAATGGAAAATCATGTCCATAGAGAGGAAAGAAAGCCTTGAACTAGATTAAAAGAAATTAGATTTATCAATGTAATGCAACCTTAAAGAGTGAATTAATAGATTTCAGTAAAACGAAAGCCCGTCACAGGATACAGTAATCAGTTGTTCTCCATTTACATTCATGCTGGAACAAGATGAAATGGATTTAGAATACAGAATGATGCTTTAAGGTTATTTATAAAATCCAAGGATTACTGACATCAGAATGGGTGACTGAAGAATATTTTGGGAGCTCTTCTCAGGAGATGCTATCATGCACCATCTCATGATCACTATCTCATATTTATCAAGGACTATAGCACATGGATTAGCATTCCTCTCTCTCCAAACTCCACCCAGGCATTGGTCCCTTCACCTTCTCTCCACTTCTGGCACTCACTGCCATGGCTACTGGATTTTGTGATCACCCTGAATAGTTTCATCTTTGTAATCCTAATGACCTGAACTCCTAGCACAAATTCCCGTCCATCTAGCACTCCTGTGTAGCTGATGAATCTCTTCAACATCATCCAGTCCCTACATTCCTACATCCTTTTCCTCAAATTTGCCAGCATTATCCTGACTTCACTCTATATTGTCTGTCAAACCTAGACTGCATGATTGAATACTTCAAGTTCTCTCTGCCTCTTAACAACTTCAATTTCTGTGTCCTTCTGCTACACCAGCTTTAGATGATATTTTTCTTCCTCAAGACTTAACACTCGTAGACATCATTGAAGAAAAATACACAACCTTTATTCTCACTAATCCCCTGGCTCAAAAATCCACTGAACTCTTTCATATATATAGACCCTTTCCTTAAATAACAAAGAGAGAGAGAGAATGAGAACTAAAAAGGTAACAAATGCCTTGTCACCATGGCTTTCCCTTCTTTCAGAGATAAGCTTCTTGCTAGTTGTGTCCACTTACACCCCTCACCTCTGCGGCTTCCCTTTAGGCCTCAACCCACTGCGATCCATCCCTCCCCTCCCTCACTCCACAGAAACAGCTTTCATTCTCATCATCAAAAATGCCAAAGCCAATGGAAATGTTTTAGTCCTTATCCTACTTGATTTATCTGTAGCACTTATAGGTGAAATTTATCACACAATTCTTAAATGCTGTTACATATATTATGTTATTTTATATTCAACACAAAACTTGTGGAGTAAGATTGGGATTCTATAATTGGCCCTGAATTGCACATAATTGCACATAAATGGTAGGGAAGGGATTTGATTCCAGTCAATCTGACTCCAGATTCTGGACTTATTTTTAATTTTTATACTCCTTGTTGAATTATAGCTGCTGAAAAGAATGCATACATGAATATACAGCTGCATGAATAAATACACAAATTGAAAACAATCAGCACCCAGATCCAGAAACAAACATTATCAGTCCCAGAATCCAACTCACATTCCTTTTCAGTCACCATTAGCTGCAAAGGGTAAGCTTCCAGAGCCTGCCCTCAAAGCCTGTCTGTACTTCTCACATGTTATGAACATTGCTGCACTCTCTCAGGCTGACCAATGGCTAAACAGCAGAGGCAGCCACCTACTCTTCCATCCTGACACAGCCTTTTACTCCCACAATGGCTATTCCCTCTCCTCAGGTCCCCTGTCTCCTGCCTATTGGCTTTGAGTCTGGACCATTCCTCCCTGCCTAGCCCTGACTGGACTGATGCTCACTCAGCCTTTGTAGCTCACATGGCTTTGGGTGTATGTGCTTCCCTGTGATGTTTTTCAGACTTCTCCATGGACCCCAAGCATCGCAGGACAGCATTCTGCACCCGACCCTAGTGACTAGGCTCCCATACCCCTGCCCAGGCTCCTGCTGGCCTGAGAGGGGGATTGGACACACTTTTGTCTTGAAAAATCTGTCCTCTCTTGGCTTATGAGATACTTCTATACCTAGCTTTCTTCCTCTCTATCTAGCTGTTGCTTCTAAACACTTCTTCCTTTACTCTCCCCACTAAATTTGGACATTTTGGGATGTCACCTGGATCCTTTTTTTTTTTCATTCATTCTTCCTAAATGATTTCCCTCACCTTAAAATTCTTAACTTTAGTAGAACACTTCCCTTCTGACATCTAGATCCATTTATGAACCTGTTCTCTGTACAACTTAGCTTAAAGTTCCTACAGGCACGTCAAGCTCAATGTTTTCCAAAAGGAACTCTTTGTGTTTCTTTCCGTGTTATCTGAGTAAATGGTATCCCTATTCAAAAGTTGTGCAAGTCAGAAACTTGCTGCCATTCCATTCTCCCTGTGATATATCTCCCATCCCCTCTGATAACTAAATTCTGCAGCTTACTCCCTAAATACTACTTTAATCTCACTGTGCCTCCCGAGCTTCTTGCTGCTGTCTTAATGTGTTTATTATTTTTCAAATGGTAATAATTTTCCAACTCATTTAATTGCTTCCAATCTCACTACCCTTTCAATTTATCCTGCACCTTAGCAGCCAGAATGGTCATTATAAAAGCATATCTAATGATATTAAATCTAGCTTTAATGCCACTCAGTAGCTTTACACAGCTTAAGGATAAAGTCTGAACACCTTATCTTGGTGCCAGACTTTTGATCTGGCCCCTGTCTAATCTCTATTCTTATTTCTGCCATTCCTCCATACCTTGCCTACTCTCAGGCCTACTGAGGTTCTTGCTGTTCTCTAGCTGAACCGTTTATGCTCACCATTCAAGCCTTGCAAATGCCTTCCTTTTCTCTTTGTTCTCTTTTTTCATCTGGCTAATCTCCCATGCTGGGCACACCTATTATAGCACATTACAACTGTATTATAATAATTAGCTTATTTTTGTTTCTCCTCACACTGCCCTGTGAACTATTGAAGGATGGGGACTTTACTTCCATATTATCAGTGCTTGACACTTTGTAAAGTTAGATAAACATTTACCAGTGGTGCCATTTTAGCTCCCATCACTCTATACCAGTGCTGTCCAACAGAACTTTCTGAGATAATGAAACATCCCACATCAGTGCTGTCAATATGATAGCCACTAGCCACACGTGTACATGAAATGTGTCCAGGATAACTAAAGAACTGAATTTTTCATTTATTAATTTTAATTAATTTAAATAGTCATATGTAGCTAGTGCTACCATGTTGGACAGCAATAACACTATACCGTAGTCGCTTGGTTACTTATAATTTCCACTAAACTCTTTGAAGGCAGAATCCATTTCTCCCTTATTACTTTATCGTGAGTGCCTAGCACAGTGTCTGGCATTTGGTAAGCATGAAATATGTGTTAAATAAATATGTGAATGAACAAGATATTTTAGAAGAATAGAGTTTCATTTGTCTTAAAATAGTTTATGTGGGGTCTTGCTTTAGATGAGAGAGTAAACTGGCAAAATGATCTTTTAAAAGCCAATTTTATATTCTAAGAAAGAAAAACTTAGGATATAAAAGAATAATATTTTTTCTTAGCTTAAAATACTTGAATATGAAAACAGCAGATTGATTTTCAAAGTTAGGGACATGCTTAGCATAATCAGATTTAAATAAAACCAGTAAGAACTATAAATTAATGATTTGATACTAGTTTACATGGGTTACATGGCCCTAGTCCAGGATTTGGTTCAATTCACTTCAAAAATCTAAAATTGTTACAGTAATATTAGAAATATATGATAAAAAGAAATAAATTATATTGTACTTTAAGACTAATTTCTGAGGGCAGAGGAATAAGATTATTTATGTATAGTTATACATAAAATTTGACAAAGAAGAAATTCTCCCTGGAGTAGGGGAGAAAGAGCATTTATAAGCCTAGTTATAAGTCAAGGGTCTAAACTAAAGATATTGAACTATTTAGATGCTAACATCAGCTTTAAAAAATTTTCCAGAATCATTCATCATATAATTTTGATAGAAAAATCATAAGAACTCAAACTAGATTGAGTTAGATTTCTTGAAAAATTCTTGCTACTGATTTCCTTCCATTTCTATAACACACAACAATATATAGCTCTTATGGAGCCCAAAGAGGGTGGGAAAATCTTCTGAGGCCCTTGTAGGGTTATAATTTGCTTTCAGGGACCCTCCCACTCACAGGTCTGTATGTGTACTTTATAGTAACTTGTCATAACAAGTTTCAAGTCAAATTAATCTTGATGTTCAGGATGCTGTTCTGCCACCAGATTGCCAAGGATTGGCAGTGCTCTCAGCCAATCCTCAGCTATCCATCCTCTGAACAGGAGTGGGAAGTTAGCAGAACAAGCAGAATCATCACTACTGTCAGCGTGGCTCCTACTCCCTTCTATAAAGAAAAGTAAATTCTCCCTTTTGTGATGTCATAGACAGCATCCAGTTTAAACTACTGGGCTGGACAGCTGAAATAATATCTAATGGTTTTGCCATTTTATTTAAGTAAACAATGAAAGCAAGATCTCACAATTTCACAAACTCAAAATAAGGATGAACGTGACCTTGGACAAGTCAAGCAATCATGTCTAAAATTCCCATCTATGAATTAAGGCATTGGACTAGATGACTCCGTAGGTCTCTCCTAGCCTCAAGTGTTCTTATTAGTAGTAACAGAAGTAATAAAAGAATGATGTGTTATCATTTGTTAAAGGACAGTTTTTTGAAAAGCTAAAATTAAGACTCTCAAACAAATGTAAAATGAACGATGTAAAATGATGTAAAACGATGTCAAAGACATTGTTTAATTCCTCAATTAAAGAGGGAACCTGTAAGATGTTACAAGCAGTTCAAATGAAAATATGCATAAAAGACACATTTATAGACAAACAGGAATGCTGAAATAGGGTTAACAGAAGAAAATTGGTTACTACCTATAGAGCAATATAATATTTGGACCCATCTTTTTTATAGTGTGCAAATTGTGGTTCAACTGAAAAAAATTTATCTGCATATCTAAGGACAAGAATTATCTGCATTATTATCAATTTCCTACAACTTATGGAGTTACAGAAGATCTGCGTCAAAGTCAATGAAAGGCACAGACTTCTACAGAATCAGGTACCTCAAAGAGTCTAATAGATAATACTCAGCCTTCTAAGGAAAGGATATCCAGTAATCTTTTGTTTATTTCAAAGTCTTCCACAGTTTTTCTTGGTGTATGTACTGCAGGGTTATTATCATGTACCAGATTCTATCCTAAGTGTTCTATAATCTCATTTAATTCAGATTCTATCATCTCATTTAATATCCATAACAATACAATGAGCCATTCTATCATATAGGTTGAGAAAATGAAGTTTAGAACAATGAAGTAATTTTCCCAAGGTCAAATACCTGGAAAGCCAGGGTTCAAGAATATGTGCTTTCACCCATAAATATTTAATTTGTGGTATAAAGTGATATTTTCATTTAAAGGATAAAAAATAATTAAATAAACCATGGATTTTGGCAAGAATATTCAATCCCATTATGTGAGGACTTCAGCCAACTGATACTTGTACCTCAGAGTTAATACACAATCCAAGGGACGGATGTTACTAGATCCTTGCTTACAGCACAGGTGGTTTATAACTTTCATGAGGGTGATCCACTAAGACATACTAGGTAGCCACAAAGACCTCCTCCATGCATGCAAGTCTCAAAAAGACACCTCTATACAAGAGGAGCTGTCAAGTTGATGGAAAGGTTCAGGAAGATGCTTGCAGTTGGCTTGGAATTCTCCACTAGTTCCAGGCTTAGCCTGCAGTGCTGAATGCTAACAGTCAAAGCAAGTGGCAACTGTGCTCACCTAGATAATTCTCGGAAAGGCTGAAGTGGATTCTTTCATACTCACTTATAATTGTAAATGGGAATATTCACTGAAAATATTCAGTCAAAAAACAAATAAAACAAAGAGTTTTGACTGTACAAAAAGAGTGCCCCCCAAAAAGGGGTCCAACTTACCTATGACATCATTCATGCGACTCAGTAAGGAAATATCTGAAATATCTAATAACACAACAAAATCAAATGCAGGAGGGGGAAGAGGTGCTTCTTTGGAAGTCGTAGGATCAACAACCAATGTGGATATCTGTGCTTTCTTTCTCTCCATTTCTATGAGGTTTCTGCTGCGGCCGGTAAGAGCTTCCTCCAGGAGTTGCGCTTGGTTTAATGTCATTGGGAAACCATCCAGGACCCAGCCTTGACTCACAGGTATCTCGCTTAATTGAAATAGGACAACTCATTAACATTTTGCTAGACCCAAGTACTTCGCAAATAATAATACGATAAATCTTGCCTTTTTCTCTCCATTCCATAACAAGCTCTTACTGCATGAATTTCATTACTTTAGAGCTAAAAGATTAGGTCTAATAATGTGCCATAATCACTGCCATTCTCCAATCTATTCCAGAGGCCTTAACATGGTATTTATAATAAAACTAATTGGCCATTACTTTTTTCTCTGTAACTTCTTATCTCTCACAATTTTGAACCATTTACTTCAAACAAACTGATTTCCTCACTTACAGGAGTATGGATTGCATTTTCTAGCTTGTGTCCATAGGCTGTTCCTCCTTTGCATCTCAGTCACCTCATCTACACAATGGGGTGAAATAACATACCTCACACGGTGGTTGTGAGGATGAACTGAAACGATGCATTTAAAAAACCCAGAGAGAGCTTAGCACATACTATTAATAGATACTTGTACTGCCAACTTGGAGACTTCTTCTTACCCCACTCAATCCTGTGTAGAGTCATAACAGCCTGATTTGAACTCCCCTGACTCTCCATTCACTTCACCATAAAGTGGTTATTATATTTCTTGACTTAACAAAAATTTAATTGAGTCTTTTTTTTCTCTCAGTTAGTTTATAGGTTGCAGAAGGATAAGGACCATTTCTTCAGTTATTGCACTCAGCACAGTGTCCTCTTTAGAGAATGGATGTTCCAAAAATTATTAATTTTGTTTGCAAATGGAAAACAAGGTGAAAGGACATAAACTTGGTTCTTTTAAACCCTTAATTATACAAAATTGAGATTATGGCCTTTGGATTAAAAGGTATAATTTCATTTCTTTCTTTGTTAGAACTCAATATTAAACAATTGAATCTCCTTTTCAAAGGTTTCTGAGTCTGTTTTGGTGCTTTTATCCTTCTTATAGTGTAACAAGGAAGGAGGGGGAAAATTGAAGTTGAGAGAGATTTTATTACTTATTCAAAGTCACAAAACTACAGTGATCCCAAATCCAGTGATCCTTCCACAATATCAAGCTGTTTTCAGGTCACTGCCTATATTTCCCTTGCTAGGTTAAGAGCAGGAAAAGACTGCATTTTGCTTTTATAACTTGTCCAGAGCTTGGTAAAATGTTCTGCACAGAATGGATCTGCTGATTCATTGATCTAAGATGGAGAAGGAAATGTCCTTGAGTACCTTGCCAAGTCTGGGTGATCTCTTCCCCCACTTGCAGTCTCAGGAGCCATTTTAGAGGGAACAAGAGGTTGTCAGGGCCACACTTGTTCAGCTGTAGTATGAGGACTCTAGAGTATGGGGACTTTGACTGGGGCTACACCACTAACGAGATAGGTAACAGAAGCTAAACCCTCATGTACCTCCTTTTCTCCGTGGAAAAAGGATAGATTTGGACTAGATCAAGATTTCGAACTGATGACAGTCCTCTGGTGATATCTTAGGGGCAATGAGGATGGTGATGTTGGAAGGAGGCTAATGGAGCTCTGACGCTGGGGTGTAGATACTCCAGTTCTACTGAAACTAAAGTGAAGCTGTGCTTTATATCTGATGCTTTTCATATACATTTTTCTTGGAAAAAAGAATCCGATGTCTGAAATATGCTTTATGCCACTTCGGAGAAATGTTACAACTACTAGAATAAGGCTCCTTCTAGCTCTGAGGGCTGAAGCCTTGTGGTCAGATTTCTAGATACATGTAACTGAGAAGCAACTTAAATCTTTAATGCAGTCTTTTACAAAAGCACTAAGAGAGAGTCCATTCCAGATGTATGGTAAAACCTTAAAACCTCCTTCCTTATCTCTCTCGGTCTGATGTTTCTCACACACCACAACTACCCAGTTCTATTTCCTCGCCCACTCTAAGCTCTCCAAAACTCATTCACAGGAACCCATTCTGACTACTTTTTTCCATCCTACTTGACTTCATCTCTTTATTAGATGGATCAGCCAAGTCTCTATGGTTTCTTTTAATTTCTCCCTTTTCTGCATTATAAACGAGGGCTCAGGAGGATCCTCTTTCCTTAGAAAGGAGGTTGGGAGAGATTACAAAATCATAGCCTGCTTTGGTTTTTTTTCGTTCTCCCTTATGACATATCATCTCTGTGTCATGCATATATGTTACTCCTTGCCTGTGCACCCTCCACCTGGGCCCAGCACTGGCCAACCTCTCTTCTCGAAACACAAAATGAGGAGGCCCAGTGGCCTGTGACCACACAGTTAGGGTCTCTCCATAATCTGTCCCTTAGCTTTTTCAATTATTAAATTTCTTGTTGATTCCCCCCAGGCAATAGAACCTGAGCTGTATTCACATCTGAGTGAAAGAAGTCAAGTCTGGGAGAAAGTGAAATATAGGCAAGTAAATCACAAAGTATATCTATCTCTACTTGCCGTTTATTTTCTTATGTAGATGAGTAGTATTCTTTAGATATTAGAAACAAAGAAATTCTATATTATGCTTTGCACACCTTTGTGTGATAAGGAATATATTAAATGGGTATAGGAAAGAAAAATGCAATACATACTTAATAGCATTTACCATGATGTCAACTAGCAACGTGTCAGGAATGCTCTTTCCTTTCTTCAGCAGCTGTTCTGATTTTGCACCAAGCTGAGCACGGACAGTGAGCTGGGAAAATAAACAATGAATGGCAGAAGACAGCTAATTTGAAAGTCAGATTCCAAATGTTTGGAGGAAAAAACAGTTACATGGTTTCTAATGAAGGTACTGACTGCTTGGCACAATTTCTGGAGTCAGGGAAGCATTTAAGCAAAATTTGTATGTAGATGTTGAGGCTCTTTCTCTGAGGCACCCTCCCTTCCAAGATCTTCCTCTTTAATTTGCAGCTGCTCTGGCATCCCCAAACTTCATCCTCTCATACCTTAGATTAGAAAGATTGTGCTTTCTGCTTGAGTTCTAGCCACTCTTTCTGACTGACCGGTGTGTGTATAAACCATGGCTCTTGCCCAGGGAAGTTCTCTTCTTTCGATGGTCAAATTCCATATATTTTCTGCCTGTTTTTTTTGCTGCTTTCTTGTTTGCTCCTTTGCTTTTTTTTTTTTTTCTTTTTGCTATCTCCTTTTGGCCCTCAAATAATCGCTTTTATATTTTGCCCAGCATTTGTAATTATTATCTGTAGGTTAGTCCATTACACACTACTTGATATCACTGGTGTTCCAGGAACTTCCCTAGAACCTATTCTTAACTCTGCCACTACAGTGAATGTTTTATGTCAAATGATATTATACTTCTACTCAAAACCCTGTAAAAGTTCCCCCTTTTACTCCAAACATCCCAATAATTGCCTGTTAGACCCTGACTAAGCTGAATCTGTTCCCTTTTTACACTGAGCTCTAACCTCATCCCTTCCTACTGTCCAGCCCTGCTGGCCAGCCTCCTTCCTGCCTCAAGGCTGTCTCCAGCATCCAGCTATTCTATTGTTGATGCCTGGAATGCTTTCCCAGATCCAGTGAGCTGGTTCTCTCACCTTTTTCAATCTGCTTAAATCTCCCTTTCCCAAGGAGGCCTGCCCCTGACCGGTGCTCCTGCTTGCTTTTGCTCCACTCTACTTTGCCTTTTCTCACAGCACTTACCACCATCTCCCATATAATATTTATTTCCTTCCAACAGAATAGAAATGCCATAAGGGCAGGAAACACTGTCTTTTTTGTTCACTGATATATTTAAATTATTGAAACAGTACACGGGACAAAGTATACTCTTTGAATTGAATTGAATATGGAATTTAGGGGATTTGTAAATCCATACATGCAAATATAAAAATACACTTAGCCTTTTTGCTGATTCGTATTTCAAATGCACAGAGTAAACATTATAAGTCCCCCTTTATTCCTTTATTGCTTTTTCTAAGCCCATTTCCCTCCCCATCAGTCATCTTATTTACAGTTTGATGTATATCCTTATAAAAATTTTTCTATCCTTAAGAAGTTTTGATATCTAAAATATTATAAAAATGTTTTCCATGAGGAAATGCTTAATAAAAGTAATGAAATATAATAAAAATAAAGTAAATAAAATTCCATTTGATTAATCTATCTGGTCATTCTATTTGATAACAAAAAATGCTCCACATACAGTAGAACAATACTATTTATGGAAACATTAATTTCCATTAGGAGCCATAGTGAGTGAATTGTTGTGAACATTTTTTTCAAAAATTAATAAAAAATTCTGTAGAGTCATCAACAAGAATAAGGGTAAATTGTGTAAACATTCTTTAAAGGTAAGGAGGAAATGAAAGGAAACAAAAGCCATAAATTAGATGGTTAAAAAAAATACATAAAAATAAATTCGGCATAAGTCTAAAATTTAAAAAGCATGTTTATTTTCTTACCTGGCAAAACTGAATAGTAATTTCCACTGCTTTAGATATAAGTATTAAGAATATAAAAGATGTTAAGTAAACTCAGATTAACTAATAGTTTACCATTAAATTTACTTTAAAACCAGAGAAGCACATCATTATTTCATTCCATTTGTAGATGAACCAAAAGGCCATGAATCATGTCATATTTTAATGTTAATAGCCAAAAGTAGATTATAATACTTACTTTGAAGACATTATCACTTGATTTGACTTCTTCAGCTTTTGGTGTTTTGTTAGTATCAGTACCTAGTAATAGGTAAAGTGGTAAGAACAAATTTCTAGTATTGGACTCAGCTATGCCTGAGATACTCAGAGGAAGAAAGTCACAGAATCACTACTACATAGCTTTTACCTCCCTTCCACACCAGTAAGATCCTGGCCACTGTGTGGCTTGGTGTTTTCCCCTCCCTCTCTCCCTCCTTTCTGCTTCCACATTTTCCCATTCCTCCCACCCTCCCTCCCTTCTTCCCTTCTCCCCTTCCTTCTTACCTTCCTTTCCTCTCTCCCTCATCCCTCCCTCCCTCCCTCTGTCCCTTCCTTCCTTCCTTCCTTCCTTCCTTCCTTCCTTCCTATATGGCCTGAGCTCATAACAATATCATTAGAAATATTTTAACACAGTTTGGGTTCTCTTTTCAAAAGACAAGCCAAGTTTCTCAAGAAATGTTATTAAAATGCTAACTTATTGTACTTTTATTTTCCTGGATTATCAAGTTATAGATAATAAACACATCTAAAAGTATATAGTTCCAGAAGTCAGAGGACTTTTTAATTAAATTCAATGGAAAACAAAAGTTTTAAAGAGTTTGTTTTTAATCAATTGGACTAATGCAATAAAATATGTCATGAAATACTTATAATAGTTTAAAAAATCAATTAAAATGATCTCTTAAGAAACAAATAACTGGAATAAGTGACAGATAATATACATTTAGAAAATGGAAAGTCCAGCTTCTCTGGGAGAGTTGCATGCTTACAGTAAATCTGGACATTGTTTAACGCTAATAGTGATAGTGATGATGACACGGGAGGATCTCAGCTTTAGGCGAGAATATGAGGAAACTAACATGGCAAAACCTTACTAGCACAAAGAGAAAAGGTATTTAATACCTAAAATTGTTTTCCTTCAATGGTTCTATGAAGGATCTGAAGCACTAAAGACCAAATCTCTAGGGAGATAACTTCTTGTTAGGTTTGGGAAGCTTGGTTCTTTCAGTCTTGTCCAAGGTTGAAAATAAACTTAACTTTATCAAAGGAACCACTGTGCATGTGGATTGAAAAGACCAGACCCTGCAGCCTCTCTCAATACAGTGACTGAAGCTGCAGCACACAGAGGGCCCCAATGGTGCTCACACACAGACTTGCATAGGTGAGCAGAAACAATAAAATACTGTCTCCCTGCGAAGCCAGGGAGAGTAAGGATGATTTATCCTGGCTGTTTTCATAAGAACAGCAAAACTAAACAAGTACTTGAGGGAGGCTGCAAAGATTCCCTTATAATTTTCATCTCTTATCCTTAGTTGTTGACAAAGGTTATCTGGTTCTCTCTGTCAAATGACCATACGGAAAATTATGCAAAACTCTATCACTCCCATTTCTTTCCCTCGAAGCAAGTTTATGCATACATGTGTTCTTACTGTTTGTCTGTCTCTCTAATGTAAATAATGAATGATTTGCTTTGATATCTACTCACTAAGTATAGTTTTACCTTCTGTTTCTGGTAGCACTTCATCTGAGACTAGACCAGCTGAAAATACTTTTTGTGGATCCTTTGGGGAGAAAACACAGACACAGGAAGAGATTTTAACATTGTTATATTTTAATAACCTTCGTAATTTTATATCTATAAGTAAGGGTTTGAGAACAAATACACTATTTTATCTATAACATTAATGATATTAGAGAGGACTGGGGTTTCAGTCCAAATTACAGTTTCCAGAAACAAACAATACATGATGATAATTGCACTTGTAGAAACACATAGTAATTTGCGGTGTAATCTGTCTTTCCAATGGCCTCCAATGCAAAACACAGCAACTGCTATTTTGAAATAGAACCTGAGAAAAGGGTAGAGTTTATGAAAACTATCTTTAAGTGAACAATCCTAGAGGTGTCAGTTATAGCCATAAGGAAGTAAAAAAAAAATGTACATTAACTATTACTCTATTGATTAAAATAGAAAGAGTACCCGAAGAAGAGATAGCCCACAATGAAGAAAACTTCTCCCAGTTATTTTCAGAATTCATTGTTAAATGGTATTTATTTTGCAGCCCCTGCAAATGATCTGGATTAGATTCTAGACTAATTTATTCATTTGCAGAGAGAGAATAAAGTAGGGGAAAGAGTTCTGGACTTAGAATCTGGAACCCCAGTCACAGAGTAGCCATCAACAAGCTTTCTGACCCCAAGTAAACCAGTTCATGCTTAGGGTCTCTACTGTCTTTTCTGTGAAACAAGGGGGCTAGACCACATCAATGATCCTCAAGGTGGGGCTGCCTTCTCCTCGTCAGCACCCCCACCTCAGGAATCTCCACACAATAGTGTAATGCAATACTGATAGAAATGTGATACCGGTAAACCATACAGAGAGCCCTCCACCCCAGTTGAGATCTGCTAGTTTAAATCTGAAGTCAGCATACCATGCCCCATGGACCAAATTCAGCCCATTAACTGCTTTTATACAGTTCCTGAACATCATTCAAGCAGCCTAGCACTGTGAGCCTAGAGACCAAGCCAGAAGTCCCCCTCCACTACTGTCCCCACTGGGCTCCAGACAGGCCTCAGCCACTGTCCAGGGCCACTGTTGGTCTCCAACTACATGTTGGAGAGTCTGATGTTGGCGTCCACCAGGCACTGAGTGGTGGGATCTCAGTCCAGGAGCTGGTGACTCCTTGAGTTCCCCCGCAGCACTCACATACCACCCTCGCAACCTCTGTATTTCAGTCACTCCGCCCACCCCACGCACCAGCCAGACACTGTATCCTCAGGAGTATGTCTCCAGCTGATGGCACTGGGCGCAAAGTGAGCCCACAGCAGTGGTGCTCTGGATGGTCCACCCAGGCAAACCCACAGAAGGGGGCAGAAATCTTCTTTCTTGTTATTTAAGCGCCCACATAACATCCTTAATTTTGCCTCTTGCCCTAAAATATTTACAAAATATTTAATTTAAATACTTACTCCGGACCTTTACAGAACCTAAATATTTACTCTCTGGACATTTACTTTCTTGGTCTAGAAGATCTTTTAGATTCCATCCAGTTCCAACTATCTAGTGTACCAGACACAGCAAAGAAAACTAGAATCATACTTGCCTGGTTTTCTTTACTATCCTCTTGCAGAACTGGTAGAGCCCCTTCTTCATCCTCTTTCTGAATTGGAAGGGCCTCACTGACTCTTTCATTGTCATGAAATGCTTGAATAGCTTCTTGGACAAGAGTGTCGATAGAAAGCATTTGAATAGGAAAGTCTAAAGGACAGAAGATAATTTTATAAATAGCATTTCTTGGGAAATTGAAATTGTTGTCCTCATGTACTGGCTTCACCCTATAACACTGTCTTTCAGTCCCCCTAGAACTGTCTTTTGGATCAAGCTGCTTTTTTTATTGTGGTAAAATTCACATAAAATAAAATTAACCATTTTAAAGTTTATCATTCAGTGGCATTTAGACATTCACAATGTTGTGCAACCATCACCATAATCCTGTTCCAGAAATTTTTCATCACATCAAAAGGAAACCCCATAACCATTAAGCTGTCACTCTCTATTCCCCTACACCTGGAAACCAATAAGTCAATTTCTGTGTTTATGGATTTGCCTATCTTGAATATTTCATGCAAATAGAATTATATATTTTGTGATAGTTCGTATATAGCTTTTTTCACTTAGCATAACGTTATTAAGCAGCATGCATTAGTATTTCACTCCTTTTTATGGTTGAATAATTATGGCTTAGACAATAAATTACATGATCGCCCTATTATAAAATTTTGGATGACAGAGATTTCCCAATATATCAGCAAAGCTTCTTGTATGTTCTATATATACATGGACATTTGCAGATACAGTCAGTGTGAACAGAATCTAATAATGAGGGGGAGATTCTACCTTTTTGTAGAGACTTTAGAACGGTAGTTTTTCCACTAAATGTTTTCCCCAATAAGCATCCTTTAACAGCAGAGGAAGGAAATTCAGGTACTGTTGATTCAAGATGAGGAGGAAGAGATTTTTCAAATAGTCTGTGAAGTACATGGCCCAATATACAATTGTTGGAGGGTGGTAAATTATCAACCATTTCTTCTGGTAAGGCCCACTCTCCAACCATGTTCTGCAAAAATAACAATCAAACAAACAAAACGAAACTATTCTTAAAAGTCAAATTTAGGAATATAAGAAATTTAAATATTGAAAGTGAATCTAAATTGTAGCAAATAAAAGTTAATCAATACTTTAGTTAATCAATTATATCACATAAATGAGTAATAGCAGCAATAATACTTTCATATTAGAAAGCAGAAAAATGAGCTTCCTACATAAAAGAAAAAAAAACCCAAAATATCTTAGTTTATGAAAGTAAGCATATTAAGTTGAGACATATTGTAATCTAGGTCAAGCATTAAGACACTTAAATTGATGTTATCATCAGTAAGCAAACAAAAGACAACAATAGTTTATCTGCTATCTTATGCAAGTATTAAGCTTATTTTAAAATATTTTAAAGTAAGAAAGATGAAAAAGAATTTTCATGCTCAGTACAGTGTTCTCTAATCTACCATGTTTGACTACCACTTTCTTCAGGTTTTTTGCTGAAATAAACAGTTACAGGGAGAGAAAAAACATTGTATAGACCACGTTCTCTGAACTCCATGTAATAAAACTAGAAATTGATTTTAGAAAAATATGAAAAATATAAGTACTTGAAATAAAAAGCATTCTTTTTGAAATTAAAATTGTAAAATCTGAAAAGAACATTAAAATAATAGATTAAAAATATGGGAGGGATCAAACTGTACTCAGAGGAAAATGTATAGTCCCTTAGCCTAAAATGCCTTGATCTAGGTAGATAGAAGAAATGAGACCTAGTGTTTGCTAAATCAGCAGAGTGATTATAATAAACCATAATCTATTGTATATTTCAAAATAGCTAGAAAAGAATAATTGAAATGATACCAGCATAAAGATATTTAATAAATGTTTAAGGGGATGGATATTCCAAGTACCCTGATTTGATTATTACACATTGTATGAGTATATCAAAATATCACATGTAGCCTGCAAATATAATATGTACATCTATTATGCATCAATAAAAAATAAAATTAAAAAGAAGGAAAATAAACTAAGCATTAAAATAGGGAATAAAAGTAATTCTAAAATAATCAAAAGAAACTAGAAGGAAGAAACTAATAAAAATATAAATGGAAATTAATAGAGAGTGAAGCTATTCAGGTACTCTTCATTGATAAATGTCTAAAACTTGTCCATACTAAGCATGATAATGGAATTGCTACTAGTTTGACACAAAGGTAAAGAATAGCAAATATCAATGTTGTGACATAATAGGAAAAAAGGTAATAGATTTTTTTTTTTTTTTTTTGAGACAGAGTCTTATTCTGCTGCCCAAGCTAGAGTGCTGTGGCGTCAACCTAGCTCACAGCAACCTCATACTCCTGGGCTCAAGCAATCCTTCTGCCTCAGCCTGGGCAGTACAGGCATGCTGGGACTACAGGCATGCGCCACCACACCCGGCTAATTTTTTTTATATATTTTTAGTTGTCCAGCTAATTTGTTTCTATTTTTAGTAGAGACGGGGTTTCACTCTTACTCAGGCTGGTCTTGAATTCCTGAGCTCAAACAATCCACCCGCCTTGGCCTCCCAGAGTGCTAGGATTACAGGCGTGAGCCACCGCGCCTGGCCAGAAAAAAGGTAATAGATTTTAATGGGACTTAAAATCATTAAGAAAATTTTATATATAACTCCACTATAATAAATTAGAATTTATTACTGTGTAGTAATAAATGATATTCTAAGAAAGCACAAATGTTAAAATTAATTTAAATGGAAATTTTGAAAAGATAAAAGCCATGAAAGAAATGAAAAAGTTGTCATAGAACTATACCTAGGAAACTTGAAAACAGTAATGGTTTACAGAAGAATTTTTATTCCTTAATTAAAAAGAAATTTAAATGTTATTTAAAGTCTTCTAGAGTATGGAAGAATACAGAAGACTTTCCAGTTCACTTGGCAAGACTAATATAACCCTTACACAAAAAATGCATCAAAGATAATTGACAAAAACAACATCCCAAAGGAAAATTACAAGCCAATCTCACTTGGAAATATTTTGCAAAAATTATGCATACAATATTAAAGTCAATGTTATATTAATAGACAATAAAGATACTAATTGACATTGACTGCATACTCACTATATGCCATATACTGTTGTTTTCATGAATTATCTCAAATAATTCTCATATAGCTCTTACATAAGTAGTATTATCATCTTCCCAATTTTGTAGAAGAAAAACCTGAGTATTACAGAGGCTCAGTTTCTTTTCCACGGTCATACTAAATAGTAAAGACACAAGCTGGATTGGAACCCGGGTGGTCAGATTCCAGAACATATGCTCATATCCTACATATAATGTTGAAGTTGTCTCACCGTGACTGAATAGGAGTTATTTCATGAATACAAAGGTTAAATATTAAAAAACCTATTACTACATCACATTAGTAGGTTAAAACTTAAAAAAAAAAAGCATATCACCATTTTGACCAAGAAGTATCTGATAAAATTCATTTCTGATTTTAAAAAAACACAAGTAACATTAAACAAAACAAAACAATACTCTCAATAAGCTATGCATTGAAGATGGCTTTCCTTACACTCTCTGGACCAATGATGAACCAAAACAAAATACACATTTTTCCATTAAAGGCAAGAACAAGAAAAAGATGCTCAACATTAATACTATTAGTCACGTTATTTCAGCAGGTCTAGCCACTGCAACAAAATAAGGAAAAGAAAGAAGTATCACTGTCCCTAGAAGTAATTATGGCTGCTGCACAGTTGAGTTCCTGGTACAGAGGTAGCAGCTGCAAGGTCGGTTGCTAGTGCTCCATGGTGGTGGTGGCAGTGAAAGTTTCTTTGTCGGACTTTGTTGTGATGGTTCTTGTGATTTTCCTTGGAAGTTAATCTTGAGCCTACTTCTCAAGCCCACCTACTGATTCTTTGAATTACCCAACATATTTTGAGTAATTTTTTTTTCTGCTTACTCAGCAAGAGTCAACTTTTTTGCTTGCATGTAAAAACTGACAAAATCTTTGGAATTAACAAGAAATATACAGAGAGGCTGTATATGGAATGTTTCAAAACTCTACTGAGGATTTAAAAAATGACTTGAAGAGAGGGCAATATAGAAAGTTTCAAAATTATAAACCATTTATTTCTCCCCCAAATTAATCTAACTTAATGTTGGTTATTTTTGTTTGTTGGCTGGTTTTTTTTGTAGAGACACGGTCTTGCTTTGTTCCCCAGATTGGTCTTGGACTTCTGGTCTCAAGCAATCCTTCTGCCTCAGCCTCCCAAAGTGCTGGAATTACAGGCATGAGCCACCATACGTGGTCTAACTTGATGTTAATGACAACAAAAGTGCCAGTGTTTTTTTGTTTTTTTTTTACCCCCCTGCAGGGTAGTATAACAAATGATTCTAAAGTTGAAGTGGAAGAAGGAAATATAGTGGATAAAAATATCCATTAACAACTTAAAAAGGACAGTAATATGGGAGTGTTGCCTTACTGAAATGCTTATTAAGAATGCAGTAATGGAAAGAATGAGTGGTAGAGACAAAATATTCAGTGCACAAAAATACAAATTGTAGAAACAAAGTCTAATTATATGTAAGGATTTAGCATGTATACAGTTTATATTTTACATTAGCAGAGAAAGAATAGATTATTTTGCAGTTGATATTTGAATAACTGATCATATATCTGGAAAAGAATGAAGTTAGATATCCTTATACGTTTCAGAAAATAAATTAACACCAGGAAAATGAAAGATGTAAACAAGAAATCATAATGGCATCAAAATTTGGGTGAACATTTATATGTTCCAGGATGGTTTTTTAAGGCATGACACCAAAGCTGAAAACCACAGAGGAAGAAACAGATAAATTTATCTATATAAAAATAAAATATTCTGCATATCCCCCCAAACACACACATAACACATGCACACACTGGAAAAATAAAGAATGAAGGCAAAATATCTGCAACATATATATTTGACAATAGGTTAAGAGTTTATATAAAAATTTGTAATAACAAGAAAAAGAAAAATGCAGGAAAATGGTGAAAAGGATATGAACAGGCAATTCTCAAAGTATAATAAAATGGCCAATGAATTTATAAAGAAATATTCAAATTCATAGTAATAAAAGATATCCAAATAAAACAATGATGTATCATATTTTGCCTAAAACAGATTGTGTTATTCTCAATTCTCATTCACTTCTCATTCACAACGGTTGAGAGAATAAATCAGTACACTGATTTATCGTATTTTCTAAATTGTCCAAAATTGCTATGCATACTGTCATGATAGTAAAAATAATTAAGATATACAAGACAGAAAAGAAGATATTTTTATTCACATACAAATATTACATAACATGACATTTTTCTGTAGTCACTTGAAGAACTTTAAAAATTGTCTTAGTGCATGTAAAATATATTTAGTAATATGATTATGTGATAATTTCACTATATAGATATTAGTAAAAATGCATGTCATTTATATTTTAAGATTATTTGGAATTAGTACATATAATCTATTTATTAAATTATTTAAATGTCAAAAAAGCCCAATATGTTGTTTTAGTGGTACAGAGATGTCAAACAATACTGGGATAGTAAAAACTATGAATTCCAAGATACATTTGATTTTTTAATCATGTAAGTCTCTCCCAGGTTTTATCAAACATGATCAGTTCCATTAAAACTTCCTCTATCACTTGTCCCTAATCATTTTAACTCAGTCTTCTTAGTCCAAATAACAAAGATAGGAAAACATGAGAGGCCGGGCGTGGTGGCTCATGCCTGTAATCCTAGCTCTTTGGGAGGCCGAGGCGGGCGGATTCTTTGAGCTCAGGAGTTCGAAACCAGCCTGAGCAAGAGCGAGACCCTGTCTCTACTAAAAATAGAAAGAAATTAATTGGACAACTAAAAATATATAGAAAAAACTAGCCGGGCATGATGGCGCATGCCTGTAGTCCCAGCTACTCGGGAGGCTGAGGCAGGAGGATCGCTTGAGCCCAGGAGTT